AGATATAAGACTTGAAATTTTGTTTCCTAGGTCTGTGTGTATCACGCGCATATCGAGCTTATCACTAAAAATCGATAACGACTCCCGATATTTTATTATCGATTAAAAACCTTATCGAAAGCTAGTTTTTTAATTAGATCTTCTACACCTTTAGAGCTAGAACTTCCTAATTTTAAATGTAGACTTATGTGTATTTTACATAGTTTCGGTTTTTGTTAAAATTCACCCCCCACCCCTAAATTAACCCCTTCACCATCACTTTTGTAAAAGGCGTATTTCAAGTACTATAGACTGCTTTGGAATGTACATACATCTGAACATTATAATTAAGTTCTGAAAGTTTTATTAAGATCGTACGTCTAGAAATTAAATTATTCAACAAATTCAACAAATTCGTATTATATTGCCCACACTGCAGCGCAGCCCAAGCGCAGTCGTTGCTTACTGCGCAGTTAGCAGCGCGCGTTCTAATACGGGCGTGTGTATGTATGTGTGTCTAAACAAAGTGTAGAGTGAGTAGAATATCAGATGGGAGGGTTCAGGGTATCTGCTAGTCGAGCAGTCTCGACTAGAGTTTTCTTACTTGTTTAAGATCGAGGGGAATCAAATAAAACAAATTGCGAGTCATCTTTGTGACTAGTAATCTCTAATAATTATATTCTTTAAATTTATCATCCATTATTTAAAAGTATTTTAATAGCATCCCTCAATTGAATTAATTATATTCATACATTCCTTTTTGCAATTATAATTTCGTATATTTTGTTCACAATTTGATTATTCAATATTTGCTAATTATAAATTTTGGCAAGCCACAGAGCCTCCCCATTGCCCGCGATTGGTATCCATCCCTCAATTGGTATACATTGTTGGCCACAAGCCGCAAACTAATTTCACGCGCAAATACAATAAATTTCAATCGTATGGTCAGCTAAACGCTTAAACACAAATTATATCTAATCAATGAGCAAACACACAAGCACGCACACACACACGCACAACATGCCAATGACAACAATGCTTCAAGAGTGACAGCAACAACAATTTCAATTGACAATTCAATTCAAACTCCGAGCAAATGTCAAACTGATGCTTTTTAAGCCGATTATAATGTTTTTTGCTCGATTGCCCCCACTTCACAGTTGCTCTACACATGCCCTATCCTCTGCCTGCAACCCTCTGCTCACCTCTTTTACCGTTCTCGAATATCTACATATTGTTCTTGCTGTTGGCAGTCTCAATTAAGTGGATTGGTAAATACACTTCTTAAAGGGACAACTGCTTGGGATACATCTACTGAGATAACTTGAGACACACATATGTATGTATGTGTAATCTTTGTTGTCTTCTCTTGTATTATATCAAATGACTGCAGTATTAATTTATCTTCTTTATATACAAACTAAATAATATTCCTTTTCTCAGATTATTTTAGATAATTTTCCAAGCTACACAAATAAACTGTATGATTTTTGCTATTCTTTTTCTTTTTTTTGTTTTGTTGGAATTGATTTTTTGCTTTACAACAAACACATTTTTAAAAGCGGCTTAATATATATGTGTGTGTATGTGCGTTTGTGCTAGTTTCGGTTGACCGCATAAGTAGAACGCACAAAGAGTCAAGGTCAATGTCAAGTCACTTTTTTTGCAACAAGGCCTGAGAGAAAATTGGCTAACGACGGACCCTAGAAATTGAAATGGAATTTAAAAGAGAAACAACAAAAACTTAAATCTCCAGCAATGAAAGCAACAAAACTGAGATGGAAGAAAAGGAAAAAGCAAAAGTAATCAAAGAGCTCAAAAGAGAAACACAAATTGGGATTGTAGGCTAACAATGATAAAGCTAAAACGATGAAAGGAAGCAATGCAAAACTAGTTATGAATGCGTTTGAAATGGTCTCTTCTCTAAGTTGTTATAAATACCCTGAATTATTATATTATTACCCTGAACCCAGCCCAAAGAGCATGTGTGTGATGTCATTGCAACAGCGATAGTACGATATTCATTCTATAGCAACATCGATGTTACTTTCAACTTCTATAATTATCAAATATTGATAAACATCGAGCATCCCTAATGTGTATATCCTTGATCAGAACAACCAACCATGCATAGAAATTGCTAATGGATAATTTGCCAATTGTCTAAAAACAGCTTAAGCAATATGTTCCCAATTCTAACACTGCTATGCAGATTTTTAATTTAAGTTTTAGATTTTTAGAAATCATATTAATGCAAATATTATATTGAGAAGACATGCAGAATGTTGAGCAAAATTCCTTCAGAGTCACCAAATTGAACATTGCTCAACGGTCGTTGGCTCGTTAGCTGCCAGCCAATGCATCCTTTGGCTGCACTTTAGAGATGCATTTGCTAGATTTTGCGTACACACAGGTCCAACTATTATTGGCTCATTCTCGTGCAATGAAGTTAATGATAGCCCCGGGTGTAGCACATATCCAATTCCTGACTGACAACAACAACAACAAGAACGAATGAATGAAAACAACATCAATAACGAGAGGCAAAGTCAGCTCTAACGCACAGCAATTTCCAGCAATTGCAAAATCGGTTGCAACTCCAGGATCCACTTGACATAGCGGCAAACATAATTGCCACATGCCCGCGAATTTGAGCTCCGACGACGGCCTTATCGCTACCACACAGATAAACAGCGACAGAAAGAGAGGGAGAGAGAAAGAGAGAGACAGGTGGACAGCCGCGCTGGTGCAAGCTGCAGAGTGCGACCGTCATGCACATCACTCATACGCCATGTTTGGCCAGTCGATGCTTAAAAAGTTAATGACTAATTTTCGCTAGCGCAAAAAATAACAAGTTGAACTGCAGATGACCAGAATGATGCATAAGAGATACCCTGTAATGTAGAAGAGGGGAACTATCAAAAGTAACCTACAAAAATGATTCTTGAGTCAGCTCTAGATTGCTTAAAGAAATGCAACTGGAAAAAGAATATATGACTTTACTTACATTTATTTACGACATTTGCGAGACTTTATATTAGAAAACTACTCTCAAGAAATCAGCTTGATCCAAATAACATGTTTATAATTGTCTACTGTAATGGCTATAAAGGCAGCTAAGTCACATAAAAGATTCTGTTTTAAATTTACAGATATAGAACTACTTGAACTTATTCATGAATTACGAAAAGAGAAGAACATTTTATAATTTTCCTTTTAGTTTAACTTATGTTAATTGCTTACTAAAGGACACAGCTGATGCCCAGGAATCTTTCTGCTTTTGGTCCGCCCATTCATGCTACCCTATAAGCACATGTTCAGTGTCCACAGGGTGTACAAAATGAGAGTCTGGCAACGGCCATCACTTGTCCGGGGACGCATGTCTCGCCGCGACCAAGCGGTACGGGGCATGGTAGAAATCTTGTTGGCTTTACCGCTGAATTGTTGCTGTTGTTTCAGCTGCACATCATGAACGAGCGAGCCAGGGGGGGAGGAGGAGGAGGCAGTCTGCTCAACTGTCTGCCTGGCGAAAATGCAACGCGTGGTCCGCGAACTGACGTTATAATTAATGAAAATTTCCAGCTTTTGCGGCTTGTGCTTGTTTCCAGTTGTTTTTGTTGCGATTGTGGAAAAGTCAAAAGCAAAACACACACCGACACACACTGGGAAACGCATGCACAAAGTTAGCTAATATGATTTTGATTTTGGTGGGCAACATTAGAATGCTATTAGGTTTTTTTGGCCAGGCATTTGTATGATGAGCATTTGGCTGGCAATTTGCATAAATCGCAGCGGTGCATAAATTATGCGTCCAAATATTGGCAAAGTGCCAAAAATCAAGAGCTGAATCACCGTTTCAATCAATGACATAATGTAGACATAATATAAGTTTAATATTATAATTGTAAACTTCAATTGCAACGAAGCAGACAAATCCATTTCATTATGAAATGAAATATATTTATATTTTTTTTAATTTAAACGTACACCAAGAATTTAAAATCAAAGTTATCTTTATAGTAACAAGAACTCATTGAAAACGTCAGTTCATTGATATTTAAGCCTTTGCCATCTCTAACTGAATTCTGTTATGGCAACTGACTAAATATTGTTACAAAAATTAAAAAGAATATAATAAATATTAGTAGTGTTTGAAAGACCACAAAAAAGTATTTCTTATCAACTCAAGAATTTTTAAAATTTTTATGGAAGAAATTAAAAAAAAAAAATTTTTTTATTTGTCACTTTTTTAAAATCTTGATGACATGACTTATTTCAAACTGAATTCTTGCTATTTTTATACCCTGAACCCATTGAAAATGGGAAATCAGGGTATAATGGTT